TATTCTATTCTATTCTATTCTATTCTATTCTATTCTATTCTATTCTAATTCTAATTCTAATTCTCTCTTCTCTATATTCCATTCCCATTCAAACGTCCTCTTGACATGGCCTAGTTTAACAGAATAACAAAATTGAAGGGACCTTCTCGTCTAATCCCCTATTCCAAGCAGGAGACTTTGTACCATTCTGGACAAACGTCTGTCCAGTCTCTTCTTAAAAGCCTCCAGTGATGAAGCATGCACAACTTCTGGTGGCAAGCAGTTCCACTGGCAAGCAGGTCCTCCACTCTTTTAATTACCCTCATTGCTAGGAGGTTTATCCTTCATTACAGGTTGCTTCTCTCCTTGATGAGTTTCCATCCATTGCTTCTCATCCTGCCTTCTGGTGCTTTGGAGTAGGGGTCGCCAACCTTTTGGACCTCAGGGACCACCAAACTCATAATTTTAAATCCCGCGGACCAGAGACCCTGGTCCCCCCAAAAAATCTGCAGGAAAATTCCCCACCCTGTTTTCCTACTGATCAATCATCTTTTATTTGAGATCGCAGGATACTGTCTCCAGTTCTGTTCTCAGGGGGAGAAAAAGAGAGGGGGGAGGGAGGGAGGGAGGGAGAGAGAGAGAGAGAGAAAGACTGAAACTGAGACTGACTTTTGGCTTCATGCAAAGAAAACAGCAGAAGCAGCAGAAGTCTTTCTTTCTCTCCCCCAAACTCCACCAGAAATGAGTTTTTGCTGGCGCAGCCTCTTGGAGCAGGAGGCCTTGCAGGGTCCCAAAGACTCATTTCTGGCAGAGTTTGGGGGAGAGAAAGAAAGACTTTGGCTGCTTTCCTTGTGTGCAGCCAAAAGCGGAAGAAGAAAGAAGTGGAAAGAAGCAGCCCGGTGGCCAGGCCAGGCGCATGGGGTGAGTGGGGCAAGTTCCCCCCTCCGCCCTTCCCCCCTCCCCTCACTACCTTGTGTTGTTCACAATGCAAGTGACGCAAGCCTTGTGTTCCCGTGGGCCATGTGGGTGGTGCAGTCTTGTGGATTAATTGGATTAATTGTGCAGCCTGGATTAATTGCTTTGGGAGTGACATTTCTCTGTGGACCACCAAAATTTTCTCATGGACTACTGGTGGTTCCCGGCCCACTGGTTGGCGACCACTGCTTTGGAGTATAAGTTGACCCCTTCCTCTTCTTTGGGCAGCCCTTCAAATACTGGAACACTGCTACCATGTCACTCTTAATCCTTCTTTTCACTAGATTTGATGCAAACTCTTTCATGCTAAAGAGTTTGCCTCAAGCAGCCCTTCCATAAAGATCCCCATTTATATTTTGCAGAGCTGACACGATCCGTTTCCCCAACTCGAGTGTGCCCATGGAGTAGAAGTAGCACCTTGCACAATCAGGATCACTTGTGACTGCGCAAAAGATTCTCCGAGGACTTCGCATGTGTATGTGCCCGAGTCTTTGCGGGTCACTGATGTGAGCTGGATTTCATACGGGGTGAAGGTGGCACGATTCTTGTAGTTATCTGAAGAAAGATGCACCAAAGACAGAAATTCAGTGATGTTTGAACTGTGTATGAAATGTGTCAGCGTTCCAACTAACCAACTCCAACCCAAGAAACTCCGAGGCAAACAATTCCTCAAAGTTCCATTATATTAGAGTTGTCCTATTGGCACCTTGGGAAAATCCCAAATCTGCGAGTTTCAGGTTTTCCCTCCCCAAAAGAGAAATTAAAAATCCATCCCCTGCACCCACATGGCCCAATCCAATCTTTGTCCCAACTGGAGACATCCCTCCAGTCATTCCCTTCCAAGTACAGGGCAATATGTCCTTGACTCTCTGAGAAAGAATGTTGCTGTATCTAATCTTCCACCTCTCTATGAAACCCTCCCTCCCAAATTCCCAGGCACTGAATGTGGCAGCCTTGGAGTTTCCAAGTAAAAAATGGCTTCCAAGGATGACAAAATGATTCTCATCTATATATATAAAAATGAAAAACCACTCACGCATCATCACAAAATCTCCAGCGCCTTAAAGCCTACAAACTTAAAATTTGGCACGTTATGTTCCTCTTGGGTTTTAAGGGCTCACTAAGAAAGGATTTTTCCAAATGACCATCAGAGCATTTAGAGTATTTCCTATATTATTATTATTATTATTATTAGACTTGCTAGTCTCAGTTACAATTGGCAAGTGACCACCAGGAGGCAGTATGTGACTGGTTTTGTTTTATATAATCCCACACTGCCTCCCAGTGGTCATTCTAAGTAAGGACATGCACAACAAGAACAAAGAATTAGCTTGGGGAATTCTGGGAATTGAAGTCCACAGGGATTAAAGGGACCAAGTTTGGAGATCCCAACTCTAAGCTAAAACAAGTTTCCCCTGTCCAGTTGAGTCCAGCTCTAGGGAGGTGCTCATCTCCTTTTCCCAGCCGAGGGACCCAGCATCGTCTGAAGACACTTCTGTAGCCACGTGGCTGGAATGACTATATAAATTTTGAGCTCAGTTGTGTTGTAAGTTGAGGACTAACTGGCTGGGGAATTCTGGGAGTTGAAGTCCACATGTCTTCAAATTGTCCTACTTGAGAAACACTACAGCTTTGTCCCAAAGATGCTTTTTCAAGAGGCAGCTGGACTTTCTGGTTTTTCTTTGAAGTTTTTTTTTCCAGAAAATATACTATACTATAAATCCTTCCACTCCCCTCCATCCAATCAGAGCTGAAGAAGTTTCTGGGATGAGAAGTGAAACGTCTTCAAAGAAAAAAACAGAACATCCAGTTACCTCTTGAAAAAAAAAAAGCACCTTCGGGACAACTCTGACTTGGATGATAGACACTACTTCAGCTTCTTCCCCAACCTGGCACCCTCCAGATTTCTTGGATTAGGTCCCATAATCCACAGCCAGCAGATTTTCACCCTGTTTCAAGGGGGTGTTCCAGACCCCAACAAACACAGAGCTTGAAAGTGGACTACTCGGTAATCCATCCACAGTGTTACGTCCCCGTCAGATCCTGAATCTGCGGAGGACGATGAGCTGGAACAGGAGCTGCTGGAGATCAAGGGGGCGGCTTTGTTGGCTTGAGAATATGGGGAAGAGCAGGCCCAGTCAGGCCTTTCAGGATTGGGACAACTTGTAGGCAAGGAGGAACAGGGACAGGATAACCAAGGGAGGCTAAGCAATGAACAGGAGAGACAGAGCTCCGACAATGAGCAAGGACCACCCTCTCCTGATCTGAGAGCACGGAGAGTGGAGAGAAGGCGAGAACAACGCAGGCTGACCCAACTACTCAGAAGAGTGCCCCGCCCCTCTTCACAAGGCACACCTGGGGACTGAGACTTGAGGAGATGCTGTGGGGAAGGGCATTTGTTGGGAACAAATGCTGAATTGCTGGAGTGTTGAATGCCGATGTTTGAACTTTCCTGGATTCCTTGCATTCTTTCTGGATTTCTGGATTAATTGCCTTGCTCCTTTGATTCCTGGACTTCTTGACTTGTCCTGCTGGATTTCTTGCTTTGCAGCTGTGGTGCTCACAGCGTTGGGCTGGACTATTTGAAGCCAGAGGCTGCTGGAGGTGTGTGTGTGTGTGTGTGTGTGTGTTACAGTGGTGGGTTTCAAAAAGTTTTCCTACTGGTTCAGTGTGAGCGCACGCTTTGCGCCTGCACTCGCACTTTCCATGTGCGTGCACACCAAACACATGCTTTGCACATGCGTAGCATCTGCAACTCACCTTCTGCTGCAAACCCTGTGTGTAAAAAAGCTGGCCCGTGAAGCAGCTGAGGTTGAAAAGCAGGAAATAAAGGGCAGTAGAGAGTCGGGGCCCAGCAGCAGATTGTCGGAGCAAACCAGTTCACTCACAGATGATCATCGGAGCTACCGGTTCAGGCGAACCGTGCCGAACCGGTAGAATGCCACCACTGGTGTGTCATCACTTTGCTCTGGGACTTGCCAGAAATGTGGGAGCGTTTGGGGAAATTTGGAGCGATAAAAGGGTGGTTCGAACTGCCAGCTGCCTGTGTTGCCTCTGTGCCGTGCCCTGGGTCATCACACACTCTGTCAGACTACTCACCTGTGAACTTGTTGGCGTGGTAGAAGAGCAGGGTGAGGCCATCTTTCTGGAACTTCCACTCCTGGCGTATCGGGTTAGGTTGGGAGTGTATGGCTTTGCAAGGCAGGCTCACAGCTGGAAAGAGAAGGCAAAGGTGTGAGAGATGCAGAGAAAAGACCTCGCACAAGGACGGCCAAGCTAAACAAACGGGTCGGAAAAATAAATATAATATAGAATACGGGTAGTTCTCAACTTGCAACTGTTCATTTCACAACCATCTGAAGTCTCAACGGCACTAAAATAAGCGACAGGATTGTTTTCCCCCATGGTCCCCATGGGGTCATGTGATCCAAATTCAGACACTTGGCAACTGGCTCGTATTTAAGACAGGTTGCAGCATCTCTGGGGAGTCATGTGATCCCCTTTTGCGGCCTTCAGATCAGCAAAGTCAACGGGGAAGCCAGGTTCACTTAAAAACTGTGTGATTCTTAACAACTGCAGTGATTAGCTTAGCAACTGAGGCAGGAAAGGTTATAAAATGGGGCGAAACTCACAATAACTGACCCCAGGACACTGCAACCATCCTCAATTACATGCCAATGGCCAAGTCTCCAAATTTTGACCACAGGGTGCTGCAGCTGTTGTGTGAAAAATGGTTGTAAGTTGCCTTTTTTTTTTTTTTCAAATGCAAATTTCTTCAGCACAATTTAGCCTAGCAGGCCATATGCCCCACTGTGTTACCTTACACAGGTATCCCCCAAAGTATGACTACAGATCCCCCACTTCCTGGACATTCAACTGTTTCAACTCCTACCCTCAAAACGGTGCTACAGCTCCTATTCCCTTCCCTGAATACCAGGAGGTTGGCCATCAACAAAGCTTTGCAAAACCCAAGACTTCCACCACAATTACTGTGCCAGGGCAGCTCTTTTGCCAGCCAGCTCCATAGGGTGCAGGTGAGTCGACGTTAAGCAGATCCTGAAGCCAAGCCAGGAATTTTGCACCAACCTCCAATGAGCAACCTGGAGCAAACAGCACTCCAAGTCTGAACTTGCAACTCCTAAGAAGACACATTTGTGCAGTTGTAACAACTGATACAGGGAGGATAGAAAAATTTCATTGGGGAATGGGCCACAGATCTTACTTTCAAGAAGAGATTGGATTGCCATTTTTCAGAAATCGGGTCTCCTGCTTGGGCAGGGGGTCGGACTAGATGACCTACAAAGTCCCTTCCAACTCTGTTAATCTAATCTAATCTGAATCCTTTCTATGGATTTACGCATAGTCCTTGATATTACGACAATTGTTTAGCGACCATTCAAAGTTACAACAGCCCTGAAAAAAGGGATGGTGGACTGATCCTTGCACTTATGACCATATCAATAAAGGAGAATATTTGTAGCTCAGGGTTGAACTGTGAGATCCTTGGTGCTCTCTGAGCTTGGCGGTTTCTTGCAGACGTTTCATGACCCAACTAGGAAACGTCGTAACATAATTTCTTTAGTTTGGATAATGAAATGTGCAAGAAAACAACCAAGCTCAGACAGATCCAAGGACCCCACAGTCCCCTCCCCTTCCTCTTCCTCTTTGCAAACCCCCTTCCTCCTAGCACTTGATGATGTTCCCTAGTTGGGTCATGAAACGTTTGCAAGAAAACAACCAAGCACAGAGAATACCAAGGATCTCTCACTTATGACCATTGCAACATCCCAGCAGTCCTGTGACTGTGATTCAGGCACTTGGCAACCGGCCTGTGTTTATGGTGGTTGCAGCATTGTGGGGTCACGTGATCACCATTTGTGACCCTCGCAGCCGATTTCTGACAACCAAGGTCAAGGGGTGGATGGGAAGAGAACTAGCAGAGAAGGTTGCCAACTGCAATCAAGTGATGCCTTGCTTAACAACCACTGGCCCCAGTTGCGATTGTAAACTGAGGACTGCAGTTATTCCGTGACCGTGGGACACTGCAACCATCATAAGTACACGTCAGTTTCCAAATGTCTGCATGTTGATCACATGATTGTAGAGATGCTGCAAAGGTTGTAACTCTGAAAAACGGCCATGTCCCTTTTTTCAGTGCTGTTGTAACTTTGAACGGTCACTAAATGAGCTGTTATAAGTCGAGGACTAGCTGTATATAAGGGAAAAGAATGAAACTATATCTTTATCTTTGAAGTAAATTGTATGGATCGCACTTTAGAATTAAAAGCTCGGGGGGCGGGGGGATCACACATTATATTCCAGAAGAAATATAATGAATAGAATATGGAATTGAATATTCTTTATTGGTCAAATGTGATTGGACACACAATGAATTTGTCTCCGGTTGCATAATTATATACATTTACTTTACGCCAATTATAAATTAAAGGTCTATTGAAGTAAATAAATTAATAATTTACCCATAATTAACAATTTAACTTATCAGTTAAATTAACACATCATTATATAAATTAGTTTGGTTTACTTTGGCATTGCATCTCGTACAACAAAATTAAATACCATCTTCAGTGTACATTATAACTATAAAAATAAAACACACACATCCTTCATATTCTATACAATTGAACTGAAAACCCCTGATATTGCATTCATATTGCACTATACAGTATAATTCAATAAAGTGACTGCCCTGGGATAGAAGCTGTTTTTCAGCCTGTTTGTCCTTGTTTTTATTATTATCCTGTACTGTCTGCCAGATGGTAATAGTTCAAAAAAAAGGGTGCCCAGGATGAGATGGATCTTTGAGGATGTCTGGAACTTTCTTAAGGCAGTGGGAGCTATAAAGCTCTTCCAAAGAGGGGAGAGGGCAACCCATGATTCTCTGGGCAATGACATTAAATGAAAGAATAAATAAACAATGACATAATTTTATCATAACATTTGATTCAGTTTTATTTCAGGATAAAAAGGAGACACGGCCACAGGTTTGAAACTTACTTCCATTCTCACGGACTTCGATTTCGTCTCTACCCAGAACCAGGGACCCTAAAGAGAGAAGACCAAAAATCAAGAAATATCTCTTTAAGACTTGGCAGGCTGCCATTGTGATCCTGGAGTATCCAGAGCCTTTTTCCTACAGCTTCTGATTCTTCTTCCAACTCAAAATAGGGATGCAACTTCTTACACAACCTCCCAAAACACAGTTTGTACAGTCAACCAGACTTCGATCCAAAAAGACCCCTCTGCAGAAAATCCAAGCCGAACGCAGATTACACCCCTATTTGCTTTGCACCAGCTGACCTGCCTACTCTTAGTTTCCCTCTGGAAAAACAACCAGTTAAATGCGGCCACCCAATTTTGCCCATCATCCACTTCTGGTCCAGCAAGGCTGGCCTTGCCCAGGAGACACAGAGAGGTCAACACCAGGAAGAACTTTCAGCAAAAACTGTGATTCATTCAGCGTTTATTCAACGCAGCAGAAACAGGAAATGAAAATGTGTGCAAATAGTTATGAGTTTCAATCAAAGTGGTAAAAAGAAAACACTTAACTAAATAGGAGTCAAGAAAATCTGACTTGCAACTCAAAGGACGTTCCCAGAGACATCCTGGAAACCACCCCGGGTAGATTCACATATTGCGTCAAACTATACATCATGGTTTACATTTACAAACTGTGGAGGCTGGGTTTGTGAAATGTTAAGTGTCAACTATGTGAATATTATAAGCTCCTGTTGGTGCTTATTTGCTAGTTTCGATTGCCATGAATTCAAAACTGACTATCTGGAAAACACACAATCAAAAAAGGGTTTGATAAGAGCAAGAAATACAGATTACAGATTAACCGAGTTGGAAGGGACCTTGTAGGTCATCTAGTCCAGGGGTCTCCAACCTTGGCCCCTTTAAGACTTGTGGACTTCAACTCCCAGAATTTCCTCAGCAAGCTGGCTGAGGAATTCTGGGAGTTGAAGTCCACAAGTCTTAAAGTGGCCAAGGCTGGAGACCTCTGATCTAGTCCAACCCCCTAGAAACCATAAATCATGATTACTTTAGAATCTTTTTAAATAACAAGCTTTACAATCTTTTAAAATGACAAGCTTGCACCAAAATTCATTTTGATGAATCTTTCCTCAAATATCTGTATACAGGTAGTCCTTGACTTACAATAATCCATTTAGTGATCGTTCAAAGGTACAATGGTCCTGAAAACAGGGACTTATGACCGTTTTTCAGTTATGACCTTTGCAGCATGCCCAGGGTCACATGATCAAAATTCAGATGCTTGGCAACTGACTCACATTTATGACCGTTGCTGTGTCACGTGATCCCCTTTTACAACGTTCTGATGAGCAAATGGGGAAACCAGATTCACTTAACAGATAACAGATAATCAGAGTTGGAAGGGACCTTGTAGGTCATCTAGTCCAACCCCCTGCCTAAGCAGGAGATCCTGCACCATTTCTGACAGATAGGAGTCCAGTCTCTTCTTGAAAGTCTCAAGTGATGGGGCTCCCACCAGTGGTGGGATTCAAAATTTTTTACTACCGGTTCTGCGGGTGTGGCTTGGTGGGCATGGCAGGGAAAGAATACTATAAAATCTCCAGTCAGAGGTGGGATTTGCCGATTCTCCGAACTACTCAAAATTTCCGCTACCAGTTCTCCAGAACTGGTCAGAACCTGCTGAATACCACCTCTGGCTCCCATAACTTCTGAGGGCAAGCTATTCCATTAGTTGATTGTTCTCCCTGTCAGGAAATTCCTCCTCATTTCTAGGTTGAATCTCTCCTTGATCAGTTTCCATCCATTGTTCCTTGCCTGGCCTTCGGGGGCTTTAGATAATAGCTTGAGACCCCCTCCTCCTCTCTAGAGCAGCCCCTCAAATACTGGAAGGCTGCTCTCCTGTCTCCCCTGGTCCTTCTCTTCTTCCCTAGACTAGCCAGGCCCAGTTCCTGCAACCTTTCTTTGTATGTTTGAACCTCCAGTGCCTTAAATCATCCTGGTTGCTCTTCTCTGCACTTTTTCTAGAGTCTCCACATCTTTTTTACACCTCTTCTTTGTGGCAAGCCCTGAGGTATTGGAAGACTGCTATCATGTCACCTCATCCTTCTTTTCCTTAAACTAGGCATGTCTTCTGTCCATCCATGCTTTGCTCAGATGACTTTCTTTCTTTCTTTCTTTCTTTCTTTCTTTCTTTCTTTCTTTCTTTCTTTCTTTCTTTCTTTCTCTCTTTTCTTTCTTTCTTCCCTTCCTTCGTTCCTTCCTCTTTCTTTCTCTCTCTCTCTCTCTCTCTCTCTTTCTTTCTTTCACTTCAGAGAATAACTTGATCCCTTCCTCCTCTCTGAGGCAGCCCCTCCAATGTTGGAAGACTGCTATGCTCTCCTGTCTCCCCTGGTCCTTCTCTTCCCTGAACTAGCAGACACTGTTCCTGCAACTGTTCATCATATATTTTTTAGTCTCCAGTTTCCTAACTTCATAACCGTCTGACTAATTTAATGACTGAAGGGATTCACTTAATAACGGGGGCAAGAAAAATGGGACAGAATTGACATAACAACTGTCTGGTGTTGCAGTGGATATTGGGGGCTCATTTGTGGCTGTAAGTTGAAGACTACTTGGGTAGTAGACACATTTTCATCCTTTACCTTTATATACATGCGAACAAAACCATAAGAATTGCACTGCCAAACATTGTGAAAATTCCCTCTGAAGTTTGCAGATAAGGTCTGAATCCAGGTTGGTGTGTGCTGGCTTGAGAATGTGCCTGCATCGTCATTCGTGAACTAAACAAACTTCTCTTCCAAGTAGCAGAGGGTGGAAGGCGTGGTAACATCCACTTTCTTGTCCTGCCAGTTTCAGGTCCTCTTATTTTCTGCTCCCACGAACAAATGACTCACTTCAACTTCTTTTAGGAGAAACTCAGCTGACATGAGTAGTTGAAGTGGCAGCTGGCTGGGATTTCCCTGCATTTGGTCTGAAAATGAATCTGGATTTTGAAACTTCTTTTCATCTCAAAGACATGACACCGCTCGCTCGCAGGAGGCAACCCAGCCAGCTGAGTTTGTCCTGTCTTGTTGATTGATCAGCAAGTTATGGCACCTTTGCCTGATTTGGCATTGAGCCGAACTAATGGAGCCGTGCCAACGGTTAATAACCTGTACACTTAGACATATAGCGTTTCGCAGTGCTTTTACAGCCCCTTTTACAGAGTCAGCCTATTTGTCTCCAACAATCTGGCTCCTCATTTTACAGACCTCGGAAGGATGGAAGGCTGAGTCAACCTGGAGCCGGTCAGGATCGAACCCCTGGTAGTGGGCAGAGTCAGCCTGCAATACAGCATTCTAACAGGAAGGAAGAAAGGAAAGGAGGGAGGGAGGGAGGAAGATAGCAATAGCACTTGGACTTATATCCCACTTCACAGTGCTTTCTAGCCCCCTCTAAGCAGTTTACAGAATCAGCCTTTTGCCCCCAACAATCTGGGTCATTTTACCCACCTCGGAAGGAGGGAAGGCTGAGTCAACCTTGAGCCTGGTGAGGATCAAACTGCTGGCACAGTTAACCTGCAATGCTGCATTCTAACCACGGCGCCACCATGGCTCTCTCTCAATGCTGGGAATTTGAGACTAAATAGATCTGTAGAAATTTACTATCTAGTTTTAATTCTGCATCCATTTAATCGTATAATTTTTGACTTGATTATGAATCAGATACAGATTAACAGAGTTGGAAGGAACCTTGTAGGTTACAATCAATCAGTATGGCTAATCTAGTGAAGAGAAGGACCAGGGGAGACAGGAGAGCAGTCTTCCAATATTTGAGGGGCTGCCGCAGAGAGGAGAAAGGGGGTCACGCTATTTTCCAAGGCACCTGAAGGCCAGACAAGGAACAATGGATGGAAACAAGGAGAGATTCAACCTAGAAATAAGAAGAAACTTTCTGACAGTGAGAACAATCAACTGATGGAACAGAAGTTTCCTTCGGAAGTTGTGGGAGTTTCATCACTTGAAGCTTTCACGAAGAGATTGGACTGCCCTCTGTCAGAAATGGCGTAGGGTCTCCTGCTTGGGTGGGGGTTGGACTACAAGGTCCCTTCCAACTCTGTTAATCTGTTTGGTGATATTTCTGCAGTCAGGGTGTGAGCGTCAAAAATCTCACAAGCTCAGGCAGTTTTGCAATACATCAGGGAACTGGGAGGCAACCTGGTCCACCCTGAGAGATCATGCCATTGAAAGGACCACAGAAACCTAACCTGTCCTAGGAAGGCATCCTGATTTCCCCAGGACAAGACAATATCTCCTGGACGTCTACAAGCAGCACGCAACCACTCGCCACCCAGCCAGTAATTGGAGAGAACGACATTTCTGAAGGACAGAAATTACTCATAACCTTGAACCGGGAAAGTCAAGTCCTCGAGGGAGTTGCCATTACTATAAATTTACATTATGTAAACTCCCATACAATTCGGTTCTATGGGGTTACTCAGCAAAGGTGTTTAAGAGCAGCCAAGACCAAAACAGAGACAAGAATTTCCATCTTTAAGTGACGAACGTGTGCCCTCCCCTTTTTTTCCATGGTTGTTTAGAGAATTGCTGCAGTTATTAAGTGAATCGTGTGGTCTTTAAGCGAATCTGTCATCCTTCAATCACATGCCTTGGCAGAAGTCAGCTGGGAAGGGTGCAAAGGGACATCCTATGATTCCAGGATGCTACAATCATTGTAAATACATGTTAGATGCAAAGCAAACAAATTCTTTTTAAATTATATAAAATACAAAGAAAAAAACAGAAGTAGGAAATTAAGGAAAGGAAAAAGAGCAAGAAGGTGTGAGATATAAGGGGGGAGGGGGAGAAGGCATTGACTTTCAACCCTTCCTAGCACCATACGAGATAAAAACACTCCAGCCTCTACTTCTTGCTTTTACACATTAATATATAACTGGCCATTTCTGTAATGAAGTTAAGGTTTCATTTTCTTTTTCACCACAAACGCAAAATCCAGAAGTGATATCCAAGTGAAAAACATGCTTAAATATATTCTCCACTTTGAATAAA